TTCCTCTGGTATCCCTGAAAAAAAAATCTTGCTAGTTCCGTGGCCCATTGGACAATAGGAATCTCTGATGGTCCTTTTTTTTTTTTTTTTTTTTTTGGAAGGGGGTGTAAGTAAACTTGTGGGAATTATACTCTTGTCCTGAGGCATAACAATATTCTCTGAGCCAAATTGAATTCATCAGCCATGACACATTTTGTAGCCAATGACCTTTTGATTTTTTATTGGTTTACCATAATTATACATTAATAGTAGGATTCATTATGCCATATTTGTACAAGAACATAACAAAATTTGATCAATCTCATTTCACATTAATTTACCTTTCCCTTCCCTCTTCCCTCCCCCTGACTCCGTTTTGTTATTCTACTGGTCTCTTAAGGGAGACATCATCATCATCATCATCATCATCATCACTTAAACTAGTATATTGTAGTTATATATAAAAGTGGGATTCATTGTAGTATATTCATACATGGACATAGCACAATGTGGTAGATTTCATTCCTCAGTACTTCTCCATATCGTCCCTTTGTCTCTCCCTCTAGATCCCCATTCTCTACTCTATTGGTCTCTCTTCCTTTTTTGTGAGATCCTTTTTTCTCAATTCTTTTCTTTTATTCTTTCTAGCTGCCAGATATGAGAAAAAATATTTGACCTTTGACTTTCTGAGTCTGGCTTATTTCACTTAGCATAATGTTCTCCAGTTCTATCCATTTACCAGAAAATATCATAATTCTATTTTTGTTTAAACCTGAGTAAAACTTCATTGTGTATATACACACCATATTTGCTTTATCTATTTGTCTGTCCATGGACACTCAAGCTGGTTTTACAGCTTGCCTATGTGAATTGCACTGCTATGAATATTGGTATATACGTGTAACTATGGTATGCTGATTTTAGTGCTTTTGGACCTGAAGAATTGATATAGCTGGATCATATTAAGTTTTGATTTTTTAGTCTTTTAAGGAATTTCCATTCTGATTTCCAAAAAGGTTTTACAAATTTGTAGTTCTACTGGAAATTTGTAAGTGTACCTTTTTCCCCACATTCTTACCAGCAATTAGTATTATTTATTTTCTTGATTGCCATTCTGACTGGAGTGAGATGAAATCTCAGTATAGTTTTATTTTCATTTCCCTCATTGTTAAGGACATTGAACATTTTTTTTCATCTATATGTTGGCCATTTGTATTTCTTCTTTTAAGAAATGTCTGTTCAGTTCATTTTCCAATTTACTTATTGTAGTCAATGTTCTTTTGACACCCAGTCTCTACATAGGAAAGGGGGCACAGATGCATCCACATGCAGATTTCTAACTAGTCTAAGATTTCTCTTCTTTTCCTCACCTAAAGCACAACTAAGTGGAGGAGGAAGCAGAAAGCTGGAAATACTTCTTTGGGACTCATTTGCATCTTAGCTTCGAAAGTATACTCTCTGAACTCTAGAAAATTTATTTTTCATTCTGGTACAGAAAATTTTAGTTCTAACTCACTAATAAATACATATTATATTACCTGAGGATTATTTCCTTCCTTTCTCTTGACAACCAAACTAAGAAATCGACTTTTGTAGTTGAATTATTTTTTAAGTTGTGGCATCTCTTTCATGAGGTAAAAATACAGAACACATTAATTGAATTATTAAGGAAAGCCCATTGGCCCCAAGAAAATATATAGAACATGAATGAATTCACTGTTTTAGTCAGCTTTGCATTGCTGTGATCAAAATATCTGACAAGAATAACATAGAGGATGAAGAGTTTGTTCTGACTCATGGTTTCAGAGGTTCAGTCCACAGTTGGTAGACGCCATTACTCTGGGGCTGAGGTGCCGTATGACATCATGTGGAAAGTCATGATACAGAAAAGCAGCTCAACACATGACAACCAGGATGCAGAGAGAGAGCTCTGCTCACCAGGGACAAAAATATAAACTCTAAAGCCACACTTCTAGTGACCTACCTCCTCCAGTCATAACTTATGTGCCTATAGTTAATCCACATCATTGGATTTGATCCACTCATTAGGTTAAATCTCTCATAATCTAACCATTTCACCTCTGAACATTCTTGTGTTATCTCACACATGAGTTTTAGGATTGCCTCATATTTGAACCATAACATTCACATGTCAACATGTCATCACACCATAACTATTTGTGCAATTACTTCTTTAATGCTAGTCTCTTTGCTAAAATATAAGGTTTCTTCTCTTTGCACATTTTTATTTTGCATTATAATTGTATGTAATGATGAGATTTGTTGTTATATATTTGTAAATGCACACAATGTACTATACTTTGGCCAATATAACTTTCCTCAGCATTTCTTGCCTTCATCGCCACCTCCCACACACTGATCCTTTTCTTCTACTGATCTTCCTTTGATTTTTATGAGACACCTCTCCCACAACACACACACACATCTTTCTCTTTTTTTCCTCTCTAGGTTCCATATGTGAAAAAAAAAAAAACATAATTGGCCTTCTTAGTTTGGCTTACTTCACTTAATGTAATGTGTGAAGGTTTCTTTGTTCATTGCTTTGTGCCGAGCATCTTATACATTGCCTAAAACATAGTATGTACTGAATAAATAATTGTTAAATAAATGAGTAAATAAAAAGAGAAAATGACATTCCTAAAATAACTTTATTATTTTGTGGTATGTTCTACTCTGTCCTCAGGAAGGTTCCTAGTTGAATATTTTATCCACTGCTAACTTGGAAAATTACTGACATTAACCAATGTTAGTAAAATTTTTTTTCTTCCTTAGTTTAATCCATCTTTAATGCAAAATTAGATGAGTTGCCATAATTATACTTTTTTAAAGTATTTGTTTATTTGAGTGAGATTTAAGTAACTTACTAAGGAAAAAATAGTCATTTTTTACTATTTGGAGAATTTCTGGCAAATTGATTGACCTACTGAAGTTCTTTCTTTCTTTCTTTTAAATTTTTTAAAAATATATCTACATAAGGTTGTAATGAGAAACAGAAAAATTATGGAAACTTTACTTTGTTCTTAACTTCTGAGTATTACTTATAAAGTTTTTTTTTTTAAGAATGTTTTAAAGTTTTTACTTTATTCTTGGCTCAAAGCAAAGATTTGAGGTGAATTCATCTTTGATTCTTCTTTGAGACACTCTTTAAAACTGTTTCAATAACAATTACCTGCTAAAAATTCTTACTCCCGAGGCCATTGTACCTGTATGTAGTTCTCATTGACCTAAATGAAGGGTAAGTGTGTGTTGCTGAAAGGAGAGTAATTGTATTGTGTGTGACAGAAGTGTATGCAACAGAGGTCACTAAACTATATATTTCCACCCTTGCAAGAAAAGTAATTCAATTTTGGAAACTGAAAACAAGAGATAATATCTACTTTCAACTGTATAAATCATGCACATTAATAGGGGAAAATATTCCCATTCTAGTAAATGATTCCATAGAGATAGACCATAAGCTTGCTAGAGGGGTGTGTGTGTGTGTGTGTGTGTGTGTGTGTGTGTGTGTGTGTGAGAGAGAGAGAGAGAGAGAGAGAGAGAGAGAGAGAGAGAGAGAGAGAGAGAGAGAATCTGAGCAATCTGTTTAGAATGAATCAAATCAATTTAGAATGCAGCAAAAGTGGACAAGGTGTTTTCCAATAGATCACCTGCCATCAGTGTGGATGCCTGTTTGCTCTTCTTCAATCTGTATATAATTTGGATGTTCATCTCCAGGAAAATGTCAATTCAGTAATTCAGACTTAGCTTCTTTAAAATGTAAAAGGCAATTTGGAAAAAACATTAAATACATGTTGAACATATATATAACTAGTAAACATGTTGTTATGTTTTAAATATTAGGCATTCCCCAAAACCTCATGTGTGAGACGATGCAAAAATGTTTAGAAGTGAAATGATTCAGTTATGAGAGCTCTAACTTAATCATGCATTAATATTCTGATAGGGCTTACCTGGGTGGTAACTGCAGGCAGGTGGAGTGTGACTGGAGGAGATACATCACTGGGGTCTTGGCTTGGGGGTGTATATTTTTTGAGCTGAGTTTAGTCTCTCTCTCTCTGCTTTTCAGTAGCCATGTCCCTGAGCCAATTTCCTCCACCATGATATTCTGCCACATCTTGGGTACAGAGCTCTGGAGCTGGTCATCTATGAACTGAGACCTTTGAAACCTTGAGACCCAAATAAACATTTCCTGCTCTAAAATTGTTCTTGTCGGGTCTTTCAGTCACATTGGCAATAAAACTGACTAAAACACATGCATTAAGTACTTATTATGAACTCAGTCATATTTTAACTTTTCTTTAAGATAGTTTTTTCATGTAGTTGAAAACTAATGTCATAGAAATAAAATTATGTTGAATATTGAGCAACTGGCTAATAAATATAATCAACAGAGAAAGTCATGATGGTTTGGTAATAACCATAATGTCCTCACAATAATAACCTAATGTCCTCACTTCAGCTTATGTATCCAGAGAGAAAAAAACTCCCCTGCATGTTTTTACTGATGTTTATATGTTAAAAATAATTACAGAGATTCCTCTCAAGATTATTTTGCTTAAATTCTGCATTTCTTTCTCACATCGATTACCCAAAAGGGATAATGTATTAAATATACATTCATATTTGAAGTTCTTTGAGGCAGTAGTCAATTCAAAAAGATAAAAGCAGATATGTGGATGTCACTTCAGTCTTGGACAATAGATCACATTATGATAATATTTGGGTCTGTGGTGGTCCTGCCATTGCTAAAACAGTCACCATGAAGCAAATTCAAAATACAAGTTTTAGGAAAACTTTTGTTGTATTTATACAATAGGTTTTTGTTGTTGTTGTTGTTCCCTATTGTTATGGGCAATTGTCATAGCTTTGAAATTCTGAAACAGAAAACTAAGAAGAAAGTTGTTAGTTTTTTTTTGTTGTTGTTGTTGTTTATTGCTTTTTCTTTTGAGAAAAATATTTTAGGTATATGGTGTTTTCTTTTAAACATAAATCATGTTCCTTTCCTTCTTGAAATTCTTTTTCTTTTAATTTGATATTTCTCAGAGTATTTTCATTTCAGGAGCACAACTGCAACACTTTCCATGACCTGAAAGTGTCACTCTGTGGGCTGGATCGGTGAAAAAAAAAAAAAAAAAAGATTCCTAATGAACCAAACATGCACCCATTCTTTCCCTTCCTCAGAAGTTGGCCTTAATCTCTGGAGGGGAGCCTTGCCAAGTCCATCAAGATTTGGCAAGTCCAGGAGGTGCTAATGGGTAGAACCCTCAACCAGGTTTCTTATTACCTTGTTTCATTTTTTCTTTTTTAAAACTTTCTTTCCTCAATTCTCACCCTTAAAATCTTGCTTTCAGTTCTATAAGTTCCCACAACCTGAAGCTGAGTCTTCAATGATCATAGCACCAAGAATCTAGTGATCCTTTTACCATGAATTTATACTGAATTGAAATAATGTCACTAAACTTCTGAACATGTGGTTACTTACGTTTTTTTTTGTTTTATTTGGTTTTTGGGTTTTTGTTTGTTTTTTTGCTATTAAGAAAGGGGGAAAATAATGAATCAGAAACTACCGGAGAGGTCTGACCTTTTTGTAAGCATTATTTCCTCTATGTGGTCAAAGGAGAGAACATTTGTTTTGGCTGGAACATAATGAAATCTCATTAAACAAAGTGGAGAATATTCTTACCCTCATAGGCCAGACTAGTTAGGACATCCTGGCACAATGCTAAGAATTTTAGCTTCCTCACTCATTGCAATGGGAAACCACTGACATTTTAATCAGGAGGAGAGGGAGATGGAACACAAGTTGAATATAGCCAAAATTTGCATTTGGAAAGGACATCTGGATGTGGTATGGAAAACCACATTGCATCTAAATGGGTACCTTTGATAGGCTGTCGCTACAATAGTCCTAGAGAAAGAGAAATGAGAGTTGGTTTGGTTGGGAGGATGGTGAGTGAAAAGGAAAGAACAGAAAAGTGTCAATGAATGTTTGTATTCTCTGGAATGGTTATGGGGGAGACTGAGAGAAGGCATTTTATAAAATTCCATTTGTTTATTGACTTGCACGATTGGTGTTCTATTATACTCTTGAATGGGCAGAAGAGAGGTGCTGAGGAAGAGGACCAGGATAGAAGGAAAATTGTATGTTTTCATTTGTCCTATTGCCTTTGAAATATCCAAATGAAAATATCAAGAGCACAGTATGGTACAAGGCCTGGGGCCCAGAGAAGAGATCTAGACAACAGAACACAAGTGTGCAGCTTTTGTGTGTGGTTGGTGCAGAATCACAGGGAATGGTTAAGTCCAAGGATACAAGGGAAGAAGAAGAGGTGAACATAACATGCCCAGGAAACTGCAATATTGAAATAATGAGGAAGAGCTGCTAAAGGATGAAAAACTAAACCATCCTTTAAGACTAATATTATGAGAATGGGGAGGAAAATAAAAATAAAACATACTACATGTCTCTCTATCCTGAGGAAAAATTGGATATGCATTTCTATAATTTTTTAAATTGGCTTTAATACTTGTATAGCCTTTGAGGAAAAAAAAAAATGACATCATTCTAACCTGAGACAGATAAACAGATTCTGGCGTGTAGGGCAGAAATTCAAATGAATGAGGCTGTTCAGTAATTACTGGTTATTGTGTCACAAATTAGCGCTATAGATTTTTCCTTCAAAGAATTTGACATAGTTAGTTTGTAACTATGCATTTGCCTTTCTTCTTTCTTTATTTGTCCCCCTTCCCTCCCCGCAGCTTTATTTCTTTGACAGGGAAAAGGCTTCAAATCACTGTGTTCCAGGTGTTAGCTAGTATTTTGCCTAACTGAGTTCAGAAGGCATGCATCATGTGGAGAAACAAATGGATCACAAATATGAAATAAAAAAAAAAGAAAAAGAAAATCTCTGGATTACGAAAGAAAAGACTTGGGTCTCAATCCTACTCTGGGTCATGTGGTATTCAAACATCTAGGAGCCATTCTTTCGTAATATATAAAAGCATCCACCTAGACTAGGAGATTTCCCAGATAATTTCTGGATGGGAAGTCAAATTAATCTATTTACCTAACTCTTCTAAAAATGTTGACCAAATTCCTCTGAAAACAATTATCCTCTTCTAAAACCACATCGCCATCCAGGTTGACTTGAAATTGTGCCAGTGATGTTTGAAGAAGGCCAAGCCCCGCTGTGATCTACCTCATCCTCTACAAGCCCACCTGTGGGTTGTTCTCTGGCATCCAGCTGAGCTCAGATGAGCCTCAGAGAATCTGGCCTCAGCTGCATTCTGTTTCTCTTGCTTTCTGCCCTGGGTTTCTCTGCAGCTGCAGAATAAAAGGCTGGGTATGTTCTGAAAGGCAGAGAATTTACCTTCTCAGTGGACCTTAGGAGTAATGGTCATAATGAAATTCTCCCCTCCGTACTGATCTCAGGTGAGTAATTCTGGGGTGAATTCTACGTAATCTACGTAATTTTCCAGGGATTCCTCCATACCACTGAGCCTCAATTCTCATGGTGGTATTCAGTTCAGTGATACTTTCCCTCCTGTCCCATTTTGCATTCTTTAGACCCCTGGGGGAATTTTTTTTTTTTTCACAATTCAATATCTAACCACAAACTCTTCTCCTGAGGAAGAATACAAGTTAAGGATGATTTGTATTAGAAACATATAAGTATACAGAGTTCACTTTTCCCATCCTTTGATAAGAATGCTTATCAAATTTTGAGTAAAATTTAAATTTTTCTCAAGCAAATATTGTGTTCATTGGTTTATTTCTACCCTCCTCCCTTTTGAGGGGATATCAGACCCCATGCTAGGCAAGTGCTCTATCACTGAACTATAACCCCAGCCATACTTAATCGTTCAATTTCAGAAATGCTATATCTTTATTTTCTTGTGAAACTTTATCTGGCATAGACTTCTATCGGTTTTACTATTCCATGCTAGATAACTTTCAGCTTTTATATAAAAAAAATGATAATCTGTAAGTAAATATTCAAATATACTAGAAATTTTGTTACTTAAAGGAACTATTTATAAAGAAATAAATCTAGTGCTGGTAAAAACAAATGTGGATTCCTGCTAGTATGTGTGTTTGCATACATTTTAACGTGGTCTGTACTTTTATGTGTCAGGGTTTTGTAGATTTTAGCACTTATTTCTGTTGCCTTTTCTTGGACATTTCCCTCAATTTCATCATAATGATAATTTTTCTTTCTGAGCCACAAATACATTAAAGTGAATAGTACATACAAACAGATATTTCTCTTTTTTATTGGGAAAAAAGAAAGTGTTTTTCTTCTGCTGTTCCCTCAACCCATTAATCACAATACTATATATGCTATTAATTATGCTTAAATGTAGTTTGCTTATATAATTTGTGAATCTCCAATAACTCAAGACTTTCAAATTATTTGTCTTCCATGGAGACATTTTGATTACTAAAACCTTCCTAAAGCTAGCAGAAGGAATAATAACATAGTATTAAAACGATGAATCACCTTTTGATTAAATGCTCAGTAATTTTTGTTACTAAATCTTCTCTCAGAGAATAATTCTAAGTCTCATTTGAACTTGTAGATGTTAATTTCATTTTGATCATCATAACCTGGTAGAGCAACATATACTCACTTAGGTTATAGTTGGAATTTAAAGTGGATATAATGTTTTGTGATAGCAATAGTGGTCTCTAATTGAGTGTAGCTCCAATAGATACGGCTGAAGGAATAAAGTGGCAGCTTCAAGTGGACCGTGGCATCTAGTGACAGATCTTCTTTCAATGTTGATGTGAACTATACCTTGAATCTACATGTTCACTCAATTCCATCTGCACTAAGTTACTAGACTTCTGCTCATAAAGTCTTGGTAGAAATAAGAGATGCAGAAATATAAAGATGTATATTTAAAAAAATATTCACACACATAATCTCATTTGACTTGAGCAATATTTTTTGATGCATTTGGACTAGTTATAAATATTTCCATTTAGGGTCAGAAAAACTGTGTTACTTCTGACCAAATTAAAAAAAAAAAAAAAAAACAACTAGTAAATGAAAAGCAGGAACCAGGTGCTCAGTTTCCTAGCCCAGTGTTGTTGCTGGGATGTAAGTGTGCCCTGCCCTATGTTCTCACTGAGCATTGTTTTCTTAGCTAGAACCTGCTCTGTCTCTCAAGTCCTTTCCTCCTCCATCTTTCTCAACAACTGGTAAAATACATACTGGAAGTTACTTGGGACAAGCTGAATCCTTTGCTTTTTTTCTCAGCCTGAACTTTGGATATCATCTTGCTGGGATGGTTAATTTTATGTATTAACTTGGTGAGGCTACAGAACCCAGTTATTTAATCAAACACTAATCAGTGGGTAACTAGATTGTGGTTAACATCTGCAATCAATTGAATTTAAATGAAGGAGATTACTCTCTGCGATATGGTTGGGTCTCATCTGATCAGTTAAAAGCTGTAAAAGCAAAATCAGGTGTTCTAAAGATGTTCTACTTCAAGACTATGATATCAAGTGCTGCTGGAGTTTCTAGCATACGCCTGACCCTATGACTTTCAGACTTCCAAACCCCATAATTGTGTAAGCCAACTCCTTACAATAAACATGTTGATAAAAAAAAATAGGACATACACTGATGTTCATATCTAGGTTTTGAAATTTAACTATATTGCTTTTGCCCATTAAGAATTTTTAGTTGCCTACTAGAATTCACTTGGACAACTTAACATGTACTTTAAAGTAAATCCAGTCAAAATTTAAATTCTAATTTTTTCCCCAAGCTCCTTGTCACTTCTCTTGTGTTCCCTGTTTGGTTACTGGCAATATGACTTACTATTCTCAATGAGTCTTGACTCTAAATTTTTCCTCATTTTATGTCTTTAACTGAACCTCAAATCCTGCCAACTTCTTTCCATTATTAAATGCACCCTGCTGTGTTCAGTTTCTCTAACTCTTCATGTAATTCATTCATTTAGTAAATACTTACTGAATATGTAATCTGTGTCAGGCATGGTTGTAGGTGCCCAGGATCTATTGGAAAACAAAGTAATGTACCTTTCCTACATTCTTTAAAAGGGTGAGATAGACAATTAGCAATTAATATAATCACTAGATAAATTATTTATATTACAGGATACTATTTTTCTCCTTTGGGCCAAAAAAAAAAAAAAAAAAAGAACAAGGAAGTACACTGGGGGTTGGCCAATTCAGTACAGATTTAAGTAAGCATCTATTCAACAAATCATTGAATGAATGAATAGGTCTTTAAACTCCAGTATGTCTTGTATTCAGTGTCCCAAAAGAAATGAGTTATGTTTAAATAAGGACTTAATTCATTTGTTTGCTTCAGATGGGTGAGGAATTTTTTTTTTTGTTTTGTATTTTGCCTCTTTGTTTTGGTGAAATAAATGGGTAATTTCTCAGAAGATGCTGAGAGTTTATATACCAACTGAGTTGTTTAAAAATGCTATGTGTTGCTTGCCTGACTACCTTCCTTCCTTCCTTCCTTTCTTCCTTTCCTTCCTCCCTCCTTTCCTCCCATTTAATTTAGTAAGCAACCATGTAATTCCTACTATGATCCGGGAACTATGCTTGGCACTGCAGATACAAAGTTTATCAATAATGAGCCACTGAACTTTAGGATGTGAAAATTAGGTGAGGTGAAACATATGTAAAGAAATCAAGTGAATGGGTCTAGGTGTGTAGTTCAAAGACAGACTGTCTGGGTTCAATCCCCAACACCACCAAAAAAGAGAGAAAGAAAGAGAGAAAGAGAGAAAGAGAGAAAGAGAGAAAGAGAGAAAGAAAGAAAGAAAGAAAGAGAGAAAGAGAGAAAGAGAGAAAGAGAGAGAGAAAGAAAGAAAGAAAGAAAGAAAGAAAGAAAGAAAGAAAGAAAGAAAGAAAGAAAGAAAGAAAGAAACCAAGGGAAGGCACTAGAGTCCCTAGGGTCCAGAGCCAGTATGCAGTATATTCTCAGACTGAATCCTATGTTTTTCTGTCTCTGGAGGGTCTCAGTATTCTTTTTTTGACAAAGTTAATAATAGGACATAAATTACAATGAGAATAAATTAGTTAGTATTTATACTATTTATGCAAAATGGCTAGCATACAATAGTTATTTAGTAATTTTTAAAATAATTTTTGAGTATAATACATTGGTCTAAGTTCAAAGAAAGAAGCATGATTAGAGATTAGGGATGCCTAAATATGGTAAAATTAAAATTTAAGGGATGTTTCTTTATTATCTGTAAATTAAAAGATGAAACCAGATTCCCAGAGTTGAGATAATCATATTAGTTATGGGCTCAAATAGACAGTGAATTTAGGAAGAGACTTCAGTGATGAATAAAGGCCAGATGTGCTGAAGGGCAGATACTATATTTGAAATTTTGAGATAAAATACATAGGAGAACAGAGACACATCACGACTGTGCCGAAAACATATATGGTAAGGAAACCAGCTATCTGAAAAGCCATAAAAAAAATAGTAGGATTTTTAGTTTGGTGGTTAACCAAGGACTACATCATTAGTGATTATTTATCACAAACCATCATTAGTGCCTTTAATTATAACCTTTAACTTTAACGTGCTAAGCATTATTTGAGATTTGAGCAACTTGAAAGTTTTAAAATTTAGAAATTACAGCATCATTATGGGTTGAAGTAGATTTTTGGATTTATACTACATGCTATGATGCTTTCCTATGTATAAAATGAACTTGATGATGCCTTTAATTCAAGTATATTTTCATCATATTAATTTGATTACTGTGATTTCTGCTTGGCAGATTTTCCCTGAGGGATACAGTTGCGTTCATGAACACTTATGTGTTGCTTAGATATTAGTATGAATTTCAGTAAGTTGGATAATATATTGCATTACTTTTCACTGTGAAAATAAGTCAGAGAAATCCTTTCTCCCCTCAAAATAAAAACAATAGTAAGTTAACTTTCTGACATTAAGAAGTCATAATACAGGGCTGGGGTTGTGGTTTAGAGGTACAGTGCTCACCTAGCATGTGTGAGGCACTGGGTTCAATCCTTAGCTACCACATAAAAAAAAAGCAAAGGTATTATGTCCACCTATAACTAAAAAATAAATTTTAAAAGTCTTAATGCCACACACACACACACACACACACACACACACACACACACACACAGTCCAAGAAAGCATGTACTTTTCTTCAAACAAAAACAATGAAAACAAAAAGATTTAGAGAAAAGGGCAAACTCACTTGGATTTTAAATCAATATTGTATGACACATTTTATCTACTGCTTGGAAGAAATAAAAAACACATTAAACTTTTTATTTAAAGTAAGTTAGAATAACTGAGAACATTTTCAATTGAATAGTAAAGATTTGTTTCAGACATAAACAATGACTTTCTGTGAGCTCTGCACTGACATTGAAAGAATTCAGAATGACAT